AGACAAGATCTGAATCTGGGTGGGCACATTTCCAAGAGGGGAACCCAGGTCTTGGTTATACATGCCAGATTGGCATCCTCATCCATGATGAGGTCATGAATGAGGGCAGATTTATTGCAAACTGACCTGGCATTCAGAAGTCCTGGGCCATCTGATTTGCCTGGTATTGAAGGTCAGTGCTGAGGGCTAGACGAAGGAACCATTCTCAGTCAGTGACCCTGACATCCCCGGGTGCAGCTTGTCTCCAGATCTCCCACTGTATTTTGAAGCACAGTCCTGCTTCACCAATAAAACAGCAGCTCTTGCCATTGTGATTCTGGGGGAAGTCTGAAAAGGGAGGGGAAGGAAGGAGCAGCGGCACTTGCAGTCTGCCCTGGCAGCCTGTTCTTCCACACTCTGTAGGTGGGTGCCATAGAAACTGTGGCCTGCATCTTCCTTTATTGCAACTTTTACAGGGATGTTCATCTTGAATTGGATGCGGGTACTCTGATAATTTTTATTTACACTTTTTGCTAGATGATCACAATAACTTTATTTCTCTAAATGCAGCAAAAATTTGTTACATCGTGTGTAAACTCCACCCCGAGATGGTCGGTAACAGCTAATGATGTAGTTTAGATGCTTATTATATTATGTATGGTCCATGACCGTATTGATACATTTCACTTATCCATAGCCATTACAGCTTTCAGATTGATAAAGACTGTGTCCATAAATTTGCATATTATCGATCATGTTTAGCCTTTTAAGTTACTACCATTCCTTTTTATACTATTTTATTTTATACCACACTATTATAGCTCTTATATTTAGAATATTGATATTAAATATAGTTTACTAGTAGATTTTAATGATATAGTGATTTTACATTTCATGATAGCTATTTTTATTTATTTTTAATTATTACCCTATGTTTTTATGCAAATTATCCCTGTATTTTTTGAATGTATATAGCAACTATATTATGACAGGATGAAGGGAATTGGAGGTTGAAACACTTATAATTTGAAATATGCAGACAATTCCGCATTGTTATATGAAAGTAAAGAACATTTAGACAAGTTCATTATGAAAGTAAAACAAGAAAGTGAAAAATCTGGATTAATTTGTAAGTGAAAGTGATAGTTTTCTTTTCTTTTAAAAAATAAAAAAGAACATTATGCTGGAGAAGTAAAGAAGAGATTTAATCCTAGGAAAGAAAATAATAATGAACTTTGACAAGAACATAAAGATAAGGAAATTCCATTGAGAACAAAGATCAGAATAGTTAAAGCAATGGTTTTCCCAGCAGTGATGTATTGTTGTGAAATTGAACAAGATGAACAAGATTTTTTTTTTTTTAATTATGTTTTGGAGACAGTAAAAGTACCGTGGGACATTTGTCCATGCAGGCACTAAGGAGTTGAACCTGACTTGATGGCACCTAATTCTAATCCTGACAACTTTTGTGCCATAGTTTTTAGTTCAAGTTAAAACAGATTTCTATTCTTATTCCTCCAGTACGTTTCCTTCCCATCCCACTCGGCAAATGTGTTTGCTCTACCGATGGTAAGGCATCAGCGATAGACAACAGTGGTCTAGCACAATAAAGCAATAGCAGAGACTAGCGATGACTGAGGAGAGAGATGGACACAACTGTTTTTTCCCATCTTGTTGACACCATGCTCATCCAGTAAGTGGGGAGAAAGGTGGATTGCATGTAAGTGGATAAGTGTGGTGGCTGAGAAGAGGAGCTCTGGATTTTACTTGGGTTGGAAATAAGAAAAGCTATTTTTCTTTTTGTGGAACAAGGGCCTTCCTTATTCTGATCCAATGCAAGATTTACACAAAATTAGGAAGAATGTCTCGGCTGCTTGAGTTGAGAGGATTATATAAGCTTAGTTTATACTTCCAGTGCAGATGAGATTATTAGCCTGACAGGCATCAATAAGACTTGGCTGTTTGGCTGGATGAAGTGTTGGCTTTGGAGGCATGTCAGTGCAGTAACAGCCTAGATATATGATAGACATGCTGAACATATTCTTTTAATATATTCCTTTGGAAACATACATTTTGTCCAGTGACTACCTATGTTATCTCTGCTATGGAATATGTGTTTCTTATCCCACTTTGCTTTGGAATTGGGAGCATTCACAGAGTGTTAATTACAGGTGAAACTCGAAAAATTAGAATATTGTGCAAATGTTCATTTATGTCAGTAAGGCAACTCAAAAGGTGAAACCAATATATGAGATAGACGCATTACATGCAAAGCGAGATATGTCAAGCCACCTGCCCACACTGCCAAAAGTACCAAAACCTGGTTCAATGACCATGGGATTACTGTGCTTGATTGGCCAGCAAACTCGCCTGACCTGAACCCCATAGAGAATCTATGGGGCATTGCCAAGAGCACCTGCCCACACTGCCAAAAGTACCAAAACCTGGTTCAATGACCATGGGATTACTGTGCTTGATTGGCCAGCAAACTCGCCTGACCTGAACCCCATAGAGAATCTATGGGGCATTGCCAAGAGCACCTGCCCACACTGCCAAAAGTACCAAAACCTGGTTCAATGACCATGGGATTACTGTGCTTGATTGGCCAGCAAACTCGCCTGACCTGAACCCCATAGAGAATCTATGGGGCATTGCCAAGAGCACCTGCCCACACTGCCAAAAGTACCAAAACCTGGTTCAATGACCATGGGATTACTGTGCTTGATTGGCCAGCAAACTCGCCTGACCTGAACCCCATAGAGAATCTATGGGGCATTGCCAAGAGCACCTGCCCACACTGCCAAAAGTACCAAAACCTGGTTCAATGACCATGGGATTACTGTGCTTGATTGGCCAGCAAACTCGCCTGACCTGAACCCCATAGAGAATCTATGGGGCATTGCCAAGAGCACCTGCCCACACTGCCAAAAGTACCAAAACCTGGTTCAATGACCATGGGATTACTGTGCTTGATTGGCCAGCAAACTCGCCTGACCTGAACCCCATAGAGAATCTATGGGGCATTGCCAAGAGGCGGCTTGACAAGAGGAATACGACATTTGAAGCCCATGTCCAGGATCCGTCTGTGTGTGGTGGCTCTTGATGCACTAACTCCAGCCTCAGTCCACTCCTTGTGAAAGTCCCCAACACTTTTGAATGGCCTTTTCCGGACAATCCTCTCTCCAGGCTGCGGTCATCCCTGCTGCTCGTGCACCTTTTTCTTCCACACTTTTCCCTTCCACATAACCTTCTATTGATGTGCTTTGATACAGCACTTTGGGAACATCCAACTTCTTTTGCAATTACCTTTTGGGGCTTTCCCTCCTTATGGAGGGTGTCAGTGATGGTTTTCTGCACAACTGTCAGGTCAGCAGTCTTTCCCATGCTTGTGATTCCTAATTATAAGCTGCCCAGAGTCACTGTGGAATCAAGTGGTCTTGAAATAGAATAGGAGACCATTATAAGCTGCCCAGAGTCACTGTGGAATCAAGTGGTCTTGAAATAGAATAGGAGACCTATATTGGTTTCACCTTTTGAGTTGCCTTACTGACATAAATGAACATTTGCATGATATTCTAATTTTTCGAGTTTCACCTGTATATAGCTGAGTGAAGTTGTGGTCTCCTATTCTATTTCAAGACCACTTGATTCCACAGTGACTCTGGGCAGCTTATAATTAAAAATGTAAAAGGAGTGTAAAAGAAAACTATCTATCTATCTATCTATCTATCTATCTATCTATCTATCTATCTATCTATCTATCTATCTATCTATCTATCTATCTGAGGAAAAAGAATACAACTGACCAGGTACTGATGAAAATACTGGGCCTGTAGTCCTATTTGGTTGTGTACAGATTGTAGAATGAGCCTTCTCTCATTTTGTTCTGACTGTTGAAACACTTCAGTATCACTAGAATGTATTTTTTGCCACGAGGACTGGATCACTGAACACAGATCTGCACCCTGGCATAAAGAGAGCTTCCACCTTTAATGGGGAATCCTTTAGAAAAATAAACAGATTTCCTGTCTTAGGACCTGATACTGTTCAAAAATTTAAAAAGGAAGAATATAAAAATAACAATGTCATTCTCTGGTGAGTAGAGGTGGGAGAATTGAAAAGGGAAGAGACACTGAAAGGTCTATGTGTGAGCCCTCATAATATCTCTTACAAATGGCCCCTTCAAACTTGGCAGTACCACTGATTACATCATACAACAATTTTTCAATATTTCTGAATAGGCTATTTAACAATAAGTAAGTATGCATTTCTTAAGAAAAGTGTTTCTGCAGTCTCTTTCGTGCATCTGATCTGTATTTGCATATGCTTCCAAACCAGCAGATTGGCTGATATGTATAGGTGAAAAAATAGTAGTACGCTGCTGTGCTAATTATAACAGCCTCAGACTGTCTTCGCAATAGGTTTCTGAATGTTACATGAAAAATGTTGCTTCTTTATTTCATGTAATAAAGGAAACAGATGCTGGTTATAAGGCGAATTAATGTACAGTATCATTTATCAGAATAATTTGCCAAAATATTAAAATATTTTTGTTGCCAGAAGTTATATTTATAGGGGGTCTATTTGAAATATTAACAAAATCTGTTAGTCATGAATTTTGGCTTCCATCATGAGAGATTTTAGTCAGTTTAGCCATCTGGGTGTAGCTTCATACAGCAACTGAAAGCAGTGGTGTCTTGCATCAGTACAAAACTCAGCATAAGGCAAATGCTGCTTATCAGATTTATCCACATTTACATTGTCGAACTGCTTCCTAAGACCTGAACTGCAAATTATAAGACCAATGTAGGTATCTCACTAGTTGAGATACAACCAATTGCTTAAAACTTTGGAATTCCTGACTGTGATTTTGTTTTCTTGTTCTGCTCTTAAATGTTGATATGCAGAGTATTAATTCTTTAAAAAGGTTTACTGTATAAACATTCTGCTTATTATTCAGTCCTGTATTTTCATCAAGCAGCAGGGCATAAAAGTTCCCAAAAATATTTCTTTCTTTACAGAGCTTGTGTCATCTTGGGCGTGATATTTCTTCTGTCCTCTTTATGTATAGTGATCAAAGCCATCCATGATCTTGCAACTAAGTTGCTTCCAGAAGTGGTAAGACCATTTTTTTAAAAAAACTAAATTTCAGAGTTTCAGTAAGAAAGCTGCATGTACTCTTTCATAGCCTTGTATAGTTCTGTGGAATTTTATAAAAATTACAAGGGTATGTTTTATATTTAACTGTCATACACTGTGGATGTCAGTTTTATCTTTGTTGATTATGTTTTGCATTAACATACCAAATCATTCATTTCTAGAATTCAGAAATTCCAGAAAAGTTGCTATGGCCAAGGGTTGGACTAATAGTGGTTAGGAAGAAGAAGAAACTGGAATTTGCTCAGATTTCCTGAGCTGTATGTTGTAGCTGAGGAAACTATGTAACAGTACAAGGTTGTTCAGAATTATGGTGGTCTTGTGTGTAAGCTTCTAGAAGTTATTTTCTATAACTAAATTTTGTTACAGAACTATTATTGTTTTCTTTGAACTTCTACAGGCTTAAAGCTGTTTAAAGTGAAATTTTAAAGTCTCCAAAATCCTATTATATGTAGAATCAAGATTACACTTATGATTGTTATTATTATTAGATTTTTATCCTGCCTTTTTTATATTTTCTCTACAACAACAATCCTGTGAGATGAGTTGAGCTGAGAGAGAATAGCTGGCCCAAAGTTGCCCAGCTGCCTTTCATGCTTAAAGGCGGTCTAGAACTCATGGTCTCCTGGTTTCTACATATGGATTATTTATGCAGTACTGTCTAAGAGTTATGCATAGAAAAAACTCAGTTAAATCTGATATAATATTGCCACAGGGGAGCTTAGTTTGATAGATTTCTTAACCATCTTTCTTTGTAGAATGAGTTTACCAAGTTTGGTATGAAATTTTAACAGCATGACTCATTTTCAATCGTGGTTTTGGCACAAGACTTTCTAATAGAAAACTTTCTCTTCATGTTCCAGTAAGAAACAACATTTAACTTTTGAGGCAGAGCAACATAATAATGGAACTATGATTTAAGTGTGTTGTGTTTTATCCAGTTTTAATTTATTTATAATTCACATTTCTAAGATCACCTAAATCCATAGTTAAGCAAATGTAGCATAGCATGAGAAGGGGACCCAGTCACAAAGTACACTGGCATTTGCCCTGCTGTATAGGCATTAGATCTGCTATTGAGCCAACTCCGGGAGGCAGTGAAGGACA